TTTTCCTTGATCCTACCTGCTAAAGACTTCTCATGTCCCCTCCTGGCGCTTCTTAGCGCTCTTTTTAGGTCCTTCCTGGCTAACTTGTAACTCTCAAGCGCCCTAACTGAGCCTTCATGCCTCATCTCTACATAAGCCTCCTTCTTCCTCTTGACAAGAGATTCAACTTCTTTAGTAAACCACTGTTCCTTCGCTCGACCACTTCCTCCCTGCCTGACTTCTCAAGGACACGCAGTCGCTTTTCCTTGAACAAGCTCCACATTTCAATTGTGCCCAGCCCCTGCAGTTTCCTTCTCCATCCTATGACTCCTAAATCTTGCCTAATCGCCTCAGAATTGCCTTTCCCCCAGCTATAACTCTTGCCCTGCGGTATATACCTATCCCTTTCCATCGCTAAAGTAAACGTAACTGAATTGTGGTCACTATCACCAAAGTGCTCACCTCGCTCCAAATCTAACACCTGGCCTGGTTCATTACCCAGTACCAAATCCAATGTGGCCTCGCCTCTTGTTAGCCTATCTACATACTGTGTCAGGAAACCCTCCTGCACACATTGGACAAAAACTGACCCAGCTAAAGTACTCGAACTATAGCGTTTCCAGTCAATATTTGGAAAGTTAAAGTCCCCCATAACAACTGCCCTGTTACTTTCGCTCCTGTCCAGAACCATCTTTGCAATCTTTTCCTCTACATCTCGAACTTTTCAGAAGCCTATAGAAAACTCCCAACAGGGTGACCTCTCCTTTCCTGTTTCTAACCTCAGCCCATACTACCTTAGTAGACGAGTCCTCATCAAACGTCCTTTCTGCCACCGTAATACTGTCCTTGACTAACCATGCCACACCTCCCCCTCTTTTACCATCTTCCCTGCAAATTCATGTAAATCCTGTTCCTCCTCATTTCCTCCAACAACTTAACCAACATCGACGTCAGGGTCACCAGTCTATAGTTCTCTGGCGTTTCCTTTTTCTTAAATAATGGCACCACGTTAGCCATCCTCCAGTCTTCTGGCACCTCACCTGTGGCTATTGGTGATACAGGTATCTCAGCAAGGGGGCCCAGCAATCACTTCCTTGGCTACCCACAAAGTTCTGGGATCAATCTGATCAGGTCTTGGAGATGTATCCACTTTTATGCGTTTTAAGACGTCTAATACCACCACCACTGTAGTATGGACAGTTTTCAAGATATCACTATTTATTTCCCTGAAGTTCTGTAGCTTCCATACCCTTCTCCAAGGTGTGGATGAGTTGGACCTAAGGGTTTGTTTCCATGCTGTGTGACTGTACGACTCTACATATGCAAACATTGAGATTGCAAATTGACTTCTTCAGAAATGGAAAAGATGACCTTTCTGTTTTGTGCTAAATCCATTCACATTTCTTCAGCCTTCCTGACTTGAATGTTGGGAAGTGATGGCCTGTGTTATTGCAATGGAGCTGGACTTCCAGAGGAAGATTGTGATCTGGACAATCACATGCTAACATGACTGAAGCCAGCCTGTTGCATTTCTGTACCCCCCAACATTAGCGCTCGTGCCTGACTCGAAATTGGCATCACATGACAGGCGAAAAGGCGAGCAAATCTGAGATGGATTTTGTATTGCTGGAAAGAAAGAGAAAGCGCTTTGCCTTTGGAGATCAGCTGTTCAATTTTTTAACAATTATTTTCAAATTTTGAAGTGAAATTAAGTGGTTTACTCTACCTTTTAAATTTAAGTGTTTAATGTACATATATTTGGCTTTACATGAATGTAGACAGAATTACTATATCTTAAGATGTTTATTTTTAAAAGGGCCATGTGTACAACTCTACTTCCCGCATAAGGAATAGGAAAGATAGAAAGTCATGGCTGGGGTTTGCACAGGTAAGTTACTCATTTAAAAAGCCCAGTAGAATAACGTGCTCATGCTTCATTACTTGCTGAATCCTGTTAAGTAAAACCCATATTTCACCCAACCAATTGCATTTCATTGGTGTTTGTGGAGAAACAAGTGACTTTTATTGTTCTACCCTATATTTATTAAGAGAGAAAATACAACAGGAATGTAGACACTATAATTTTGTTTATTGAAAAATAACCTGGCATATGTATTTATTTTCATGTGATTGCATTTTGGGATAAACTTAGACCTGATAATTAGAATGTCCATTCAGTTTCACGTGTAGTTTTTTTCCTTGAAGTTTGTTGTTTGTGACGATGTACTGTTTCTAGGCCTCAGATTTTAAATTGTCGGAAATTTCATGATGGAGGGCGTCTTCAACAAGATAAGTTTATATTATACGAAAATGTGAAAACAATGGCGAAGTAATATGCAGGCATTGTTGCAGAGAATTTTTAGTATGGAACTAGTTATCATATTTAATCAGAGATTCCATTGGAGTAAGAAGCATGTACTTGGAAATGTATTCTTTTTGTAGTTTTTGAAATTAATAATTTTAGCTAAAAAGATAAAACATCTCAAAGTGTTGCAACTTTTTTCCCCATTTGAACAGGGTTGTCTCCTATATAGAGATTTAAATAATCACAATATGACAGCAATGTCCATAAACCCAGAAACATTAGAACAAGAAAGCACAGTTAATCTTCCAGGTATGTAACAAATTCATAACCCAATAGATAAAATAGCATGTATTCAAGGGGGGGGATATATGAATAGTGAAATAATAGTTGGAGCATTATTAGCGTTGCAAGTTGTGATGGAGGCTCTTTGCTGTGATCAGGTTTTATGTAGATGTCTGTGTTCTGTTAACGTACAAAAAGACTACTTATTGCAAAGTAACCCATGAGGATGTTCTGTAGGAAACTGAGCAAGTGTCAAAAATGAGACTACCTTGGTTAAACTTTTGAAAGACTCACTGATCTGATGAGCCTCTCAACTTCGATTGTCTTGATTCTTCTTATAATTTCTTCTCCTCTGTCTCCTTTCTTTCAGGGCCTGGGGAGTGGGGAGGGAATTGATTCCACATTCAAAAAGTTCTAGATGGTGTTTTGATTGTCTGAGGCCAGGTGCCAGAGAAGAATTGCCATGGATAATGTTCATGCATGCTGTTCCATCCTGTTTGTTACAGGAATTTGGGATTCAAAGGGAGATGAGGGCATCTGGTCTGATGATGGGTGCTGTCACATCCTGGGCCTGTAACTTTTTTTTTCAAATGACCATTCCCTTCAAAGACAAGCTGGAAAATGACTGTTTCTCAGCCTCTGAGACTGGAAGAAGTGTTTACTGTATAGATTTTCTTCAGTGGTAGGATGTAAGCAAAAGAAATGGCCAGCACAAATGGCTTTTTAGATGTGGATTCTGTGATGGGCAATAGCTTCAGTATTAAGGAATCTTAAATCATACCTGTGCATTAAAACATTATCTATTAAACAAATGAATTATTCAAAGTTTTACTACTGGTTAAGATCTTTGCTGTAAGGACCTTGTTATACATAATCTTTAGAAATTAAGCTAACATTTTCGGAAAGGTTAGTCCAATTAAACTTTTAAAATTAAAATAGACTTTAAATTTAATTTCTTTTTTCAGGTTGCCAGGCTGAAGGACAGAATATCCTCTTCACAGATGGAGAATACATCAATCAAATTACGGCATCAAAAGATGCAAGTATATTAGTTGTTACAATGAGTTTGTCAAACGATTTTACATTAAAATATTTTGATGGTTTTTGTGTACATGTATATTGCCCAACTCGGTTCACGTATAGTATTAAGCAATATCTTTGTTTCCTGTCCCTTATAGGATGGTTTTGTAGTGCGGATATATGCAACAAGCACTGAGCCTGTACTTCAACAAGAGCTGCAGCTTAAACTAGCCAGGAAGTGTCTACATGCTTGTGGTCTCTCCTTGTTTGATCTTGAAAAAGATTTGCACATTATTAGTAAGGAAAACATGATTTTTTTAAAAAATTCTTTTAATAAAGGTAATGGCTTATAAATATTTAGCTCAGTTTCTTTTAAATGTTTTTTTCCCCACTTATTATAAATCATCTTCCCCACCTCATTTTTCCCACATTGTCATTGCTTGGATGAAAGAAATTTGGGGTGAAGTATTTGTTGGTGGGATGCACAGATAAACTACATAATGCATTATGATAGCAGATTTTTTCAGCACTGAATTTAGACATTTAAAACCTCATGGTTCATGCCATTATTGTATCTAGTTCCTTTTGTGTTCTGAAGAAGGTTTAAATTGTTATTGACACTGAGACTTCTAGTGGCTAATGCTGGTTGGACAATTTTAATCTCCCCAAAATTGAGTGGGGAAAGTAAATTTTGAAAAAAAATTAAACCTTGGTCTGACCATGAGTACCCCTATCTTGGTAGCAATTAGGGGTAGACAGTTAAAGCTGGCCTTACCAGTGATGTCCTTATTCTATGAACAAATTGAAAAGGTATGAGGAGAGATTGGTGACTAATCCCTCCTAGGGAAGGAGATTGATCATTGAGCACTTGTAAGGAGATAGTGTGCAAAAAACAGTTGGGTGTATCTTTTCTCTGCAAAAAATCCTGATGGCACTATCTGTGAAGAGTCAGAAATGGAAAACAAAAAGTCTTACTAAGGTACTGTAGAGAATTGTTGCCTGTGAAATATATTCCAATAAAGGAGTTAGTTATTTCAGGAATTAATGCAGAGGGTAATTGGGTGAGAAGGAGAAAGTTAATAGGTATTCCTTAAACTCCCTGCTCTCTTTGCCCTCCATTGATATCAATCTTCGTTTAAATTCAGAGCTGTGAAGTTCTCTTCTCATGCTTTTCCATCATTCCAACTCCTTGTCTTCCTCTAAAGCTCAGCTTAAAATCATTTTTTTAGTTGCTCCTCATATCACCACCTTTTCATTTGGTGCTCTTTTCTGCTGGTTCCACTTGTGTGAAACACCTCGGGCATATTTTCCATGTTAAAGACACTTAAAAGTACAAGTTGCTGCTGAATGAGTTGCCATTGTAACCTCTGAGTGTGGAATGGGGTTCATGGAGAACTTGGACTGAAGTACCAGTTTTGATTTGTATTGGTCTTTGGGCAAGTCTATATGCATCTCGTTTCAAGACTACATTGTATTCAGAATTTTGACTATAAGATTTGGAAAGTAGTTTTTGCGCATGGCACTGTATCAGAGGGCCATCTGTGAAGCTCTCCAGCAAGGAGTTAGTGACTTTTTGAATTGGTTTGGTGAAAATGGGTGGACAAAGATTTATATTTAGATTTAGAATATGACGTTAACATTGCTGAGGGTCTGAATGAAGATATTCTGTGTCGTGCCAGCTTCGTGAGAAAATGCATTAGTGTCAAAATTTGCTTGAGTTGCCGTAATGACTGCAGGTGAAGCTATAATTTTTGTGTGGTGATTCAGCTTGTTTTTTAACCATTAACTTTGTTTGCCATCAGCTTTAGTGGTGGTCATTTACACTCATTAGCAGTGGAAAATATCTTTCTCCCTTAGGGAGGTGGATGCTTTGCCCGCAAGTTGAGTAATTGCAGATTGTTGCTCACTAAACTTTTTCTCATTGGCTGTCAGATCATTTTTGTATTGAAATCTTGTATTTAAGGAATTCTCTCAAATTTTAAATGGTCAGTTAAATGTGTCCACTTAATTAATAGAGAACATGATTACAAACACATTGCTAGCATACTTAAGTAAATTTTTCAGCTGTTGCGTTTTCTCTGTTTGCTCTACTCCATTCTCTTGCTCTGTTCCTTTCTTCTACTTTGCATCCTGACCCAAGGTTCCTTTTCTTATTTATGGCTACCCTCTCTTCCCCTCTAAATTGCTTCACAGCTCCCTGAGCTTCTGCCTAGCACTTCTCTTTCTCCCTACTCTGATCGTGCCATCTGTTTCCTCTTGCTGAGCTGATTTTCACCACCCTGATCACTTGTATCATTAGTAACCTTTTTTTGTTCTGTCTGACCATGTACCATCATCAGTCACTGCTCATTCACAGCACACATTGTTACCTATACCAGAAAAATTAAAATCACCACATCATAGCACTATCTATATCTGTTTTGAGGTTTGTACTTTTAGACATGTTTGTCCATAGATAAACTACTAATTGGAAAGGCATATATCAAAGTAACACTTTTGAGTATCTTTTTTTAAAAAGAAATGACCCTAGAAATTTCTGTTCGTGGACAGTGTCATTGAATGGCTACCATGCTTATATTTGGATATGGCTGTTAATTCATTTGTCTATACAAAGCATGAAAATTTATGGTAATGCCTGCAGCCGCTGTCAATATCTGATCATTTTCCAGAATTTAAGTGCATGCATGTAAAAATGTTTATTTTCTGCATAATAAATATATTGAAGTCTTTTAAATGTTCATGTTTCATCAGGTACAGGATTTGATGAGGAATCAGCTGTTGTATCAGCTGGCAGAGAGTTTGCACTAATGAAAACTGCTAATGGAAAGGTATGTAGAAAAATAATCCTTAAAACCTAAAGTTAGTGTTAACAATGTAACTTAACAAGTAGTTCATGGCATCAGTTTGTTTTGTCTACTTTTACATACGGTGTTAATCCATGCATCAATGCCTTCACTAAAAAGGATAAAAAGTCATGCGAGCGCATTAAGGTAGCCAAGATTAATGTTTAGGTTTTTGTTCATTGATCAAGTACTCGTCTATGCCAACCAGAAGCTATGCCATGCCAGCCACCCAGCCAACCTGGAATTTTTTTTAATTCGCTCTGTCCGTGTGTGTTGCTTGCTTGACCAGCATTTATTTTCCTGAACGTACCTGGGTAGCATGTTGAGTTCTCTTTTCTTTTTGCCTGGAATATTTCTGTGTAATTAACTTGAAGCCTAAACTTTACCTATTCCACCATTGTGTGGAATTTTGATACATTTGTCACATAACTACTGTAAATACCAACTTTTAAAGTAATAGCATTTAACACTTAGAAAAGCTTTAAGAGAGCCCATGTTTCTGCACATGAGCTAATTAACAAGTTCAAAATTATTTGCCCTTTTTCAATTACGGCCCACTTTATGGATTGAGGCTTTTCGGTCTGTAATTAATCCATTGTAAAAAATAAGAAAAAGGGAGGTATAGAATAAAAATATAATCCTTTGTTGTGCACATTTGTTGGAATTTTGTTCAGATATTGTATCCTTTTTTCAATTGAATGCTTCATCGTTTTTACTTCTATTTTGTGAAATGTTACAAAAAATCAGATTCACCAGATTTCAGTTTTGCACAACAATGTATTCCTGGGGGCCATCAAAATGGAGGAAACAATGGGACCATTTATTATTTGAAACTTTCTATGTTGCAGCAGTTATGTTAGCTGATCTGTGCGTCTGCCTGGATTTTTGATTACTTAAAATATTACCTTTGCAAACCACTTTGTCATGAAAATTACTTTTTAAAAAGTTGTATCCTTGTCTAATATCTGAATTGGATGCCTGTAGGAAAACAGTATAAATAGTTTTTAGTATTGAAATAATGTAAGTTATTCTAGGTGCAGGGGAAGCATTAACACTTGAAACTGAAATGAAGGAAAAAAGAGAAATAGCAGATATTGGTGGAGTGTGCAGAATTAATGTTTCCAATTATTGTACTTATAATAAAGTGATCCTGACATCCTGGCTTTGTTACTGGAACAGTGCAACAATATGATCTGAAAACATTTCATCTTCGGACTTAGTTTAATGCTTATTTTCAGAAGGATTAGATTTTAGAACTTTTTTTAATGTAGCTGTTATCTGCATCTAAGTACCCACTATTACCCAGATTCTGTAGTAAAAGTGATGACGTGTCTAACAGGGCTCACCAGTGTTGAGTAAATTGGACAGCATTGTGCATCTAAAATTGAGAGATTGCAGTCTGAGTTGCCCACTTCCTCCAGAAACTTCGCTATGTTCTTTATATCTCGGAGAAATTCACATTCAAAAAGGGAGGGGTCTGAAGTCAAAGCTACTTCAACAACACCATCCAAACCTATGATTTCTACCTGTCAGAGGTCAAGGCACAATGGGATTGCAACCAACTGCAAGTTCCTTCCGTCCTGACTTGGAAACATATCACCATTATTTTACTGTCACTGTCAAAATTCTGGAACTACTTCCATACTAGCGTTGAGGGTATACCAACACCACATGGCTAACAGCAATTGTAGAAGATAGCTCATGACCACAACCTTAAGTACAATTAGGAAAGTTATTGACTGTTATTGCCAGCAATGCCCAAATTGCAGGAATGAATATGTTAAAAAGTTTACCTAGTTACCTAATAACCACATCCAATAAAATTGGGACTTGTCTATTCAAATGTAAGTTAATAATGTGGTAAGCCATAATTACATTAGAAGTGAACTTAAGCCATTTGGCCTCACAAACCTCCTGCTACTTCATAAGATCGGGGCTGATCTGTTTTTGTTTTGAATTCCACATTCCAATCTCCTCCCAATAACCTTAGATTCTTATTCAGCAGTTGATCTATCTCCGCCTTTAAAATATTCAATGACACCACCTCCACCCCTTCTGAGGCAGAGTTTCAACACTTGAAAGAAAAATTTTCCATCTGTCCTAAAAGAATGACATCTACTTTTAACACTCCCCTCCAGTTCTAGACTTGTCCACAGAGGAATTATTCTTTCCTTGTCAAGAACATTCAGGATCTTGTACATTTCAATCAAGTTACCCCTCACTCTTCTGAACGCCGGTGGAAACATGCCCTGTTCGTTCAAACTTTGCTCATAAAACAACCCAAGTATCAATCTAGTAAATCCCTTCTGACCTACCTCCAATGCATTTACTTCCTTCCTTAAATAAGGAAGCCAAAGCACAGTATTTACAAAATTATCTCAACAGTGCCCTGTTTATCTGAAGTGTAACATCGTTATATTTATATTAAATTTGTCATTGTAATAGAAGAGGAATATTGACACCTTTTTGATTACGTGCTTTTCCTCCATACAAACTTCTGTGTCTCGTGCTGGAACACCTGGATGCCTCTGTGTATTGGAATTCTACGTTTGTTCTTCGTTTAAATAATACAGTGCCTTTTTATTTTTCCTTTCAGGGACCAACTTCACATGTTCCCATATGATATTCTATATTTGCCCACTCAACATGTCTACATCACTCTGCATTATCCTTATGTACTTTTCACAACATACTTTCCTACCTTTCTTTGTGTCATCTGCAAATTTAGCTGCAATGCCTTTGCCCCCCTAATTTAAGTAGTCATTAAAAATTGTAAAACAGCTGAGGCACCAACAGAGCTCCAATTGTCATATCCTGCCAAGCAGGAAAAGACTCCCTTTTCTGCCAGCCGGCCAATCTTCTATCACTGCACACCACATACTCTAACTTGTAATAAACATTTTATGTGCACCTTAGTCAAATGCTTTCTGGGAATCCAAGGACAGTACACTTGCACGCATGTACTACTGCATTAGCGCACTCTTTTAAGACCTGAGAGTGAATTCTATCATGACCCAGGTACTTGTCAGCCCGCAGCTTCAACAGTTTGTTTAGTACTGCTTCCTGAGTGGTTTGTAGTTTCATCACGTTTCTCTCCCTTCTACATTCTGATTTCCAATTATTACTCGAATGCTTTTTGTATCCTCAGTAGTGAAAGTTGAAGTAGAATGTTTGTTCGTTCCTTCTGTTATTTCCCGGTTATCTGCTGTTAATTGTACCTTCTCACTCTCTAGACTATGAGCACTCAATTTTCTTTCTTTCTTTTTTAAATACCTCTTGCTATCTGTTTCTACTTTTCTAACTCGCTTTCTGTCATTAACCTGATCAACGCTTTGTCATTTTCTGCTGATCTGTCTATATTCTGTCCAATCATCTGCCCTTCTACTCCTCTATATGCAATAGTATGCTTTTTTCCCCCCTCCATAAGATGCTTTTCTAAACACGTTTACTTAACCATGGATGATGGGTTTTCCCCTTAGAAATTCTCTTTTCGTGGGAATATAATTATTCTGAAGTATCCCCACAATTTTTTTTGAGAAGATTTGTAGCTCAGGTTATGGATGAGGTTGTAGACTTGCTTGCTGAGCCAGTGCGTTTAGTTCTGTTACCCTTGTTATTTATATGCCTCTGTTTGCTGGGGTGGTTGGCATTACTTCAGGAACTCCATCAACAAACATATTGAACTGTACCTGATATACAAACTGCTGAGAAATAACCGGAAGTGATGCCAACCACCCCAGCAAACCAAGGCATATAACAAGCGGGATAGAACACCAATGCTTCACCGGAGGCGCACTGACAATGTTACCTAGCAGGGTGACGAAATGTCTGCAATCAAGTCCACTGGCTCTGAGCATGTCTACAGCCTTATCCTCACAAATGTCTGCCGCTGGTTCTGATCTAACTACAAGGCAAATATCTCACTTCACTTCAGCAGGCTCAACTTTTATGCCCACGTAGTTGCCCTTATTTAATTTAAATACTTGTCTCAGACCCATTCTTCTCCCAAATAAATTGAATGTGAAAATTAATAATTTTAATGATCACTACGACCTGGGGATATGCTGTATCACTGAAATTCTTTGATCTTTTCAAACTACAAAATACCAAGTCTAATATAACACGCTCCCTGATTGGTTCCACAATGTGCACTTCTCTAAGAAACAATCTAGCATTCTATGAACCCCTTCAAGCAGGCTACTGAGATTTATGTTACCCAGGGTTATTGATGTCACTTAATCATAAGTATCCAACATTTATTCTTGCCTGTTTCATTCTACGTTATGGTTACTATTAGGGGACCTGTAGACCATTCCCACTAGTGACTTTTTTCCCCTACTATTCTTATCACATAAACCAATTCTATACCGTGATCTCCTGAACTAAAGTCATCACTAACTATATTACTGTAATACCATCGTTTAAGAGTATTATCTTTCTACAGTGCTATTCCAGCCTATCATCCTATTTTTGAATGTCATTTACTACTAATCAGAACTCAAACTTTGTCATTCTGCAGCTTCTCCATATTGGCAATCAAACCATGTATATTTACTTCAATGTACCCTATCAATTTGTTTACTTTTGTTATGAATACTGTATGTTCAGATATAGAACCTTTTTAGTTTTGTTTTTGTTATCTTTGTGTCCATATCTCATTGTGACTGACATATACTCAAGTTTGCTTTTTGTGCTTTCCTACCATTTTCTGATCTTTATTTCCAATATTACTATTCTGCTGTCCTGCTATGGCTATACCCTCTGATTCGCTATATCTACCAAAGCTTGATCCCTCACCCCCATTGTTTACTTTTAATAATGTTTCAGGTATTGAAAATTTAGTTTTACATGTAGCGTTAATTTTTTTCAAATATTAATTATTTTTGGAGATTCCAAAGTTTTTGCTTTCTCTTTATTTTATTTCTAGATCAATGTTTCTTCCCCTCTCTTTGAAATTAAATATTTTAACTTACTGTGTGTTGGTAAGGATTCTTCAAATTGGAGGAAAGAAGACTTGCAATTATAGACCGCCCTTGAGAACATTGGATCATTCCAAGATGATTTTGTAGCATTTAAGTGTGGACACAATTGAAATATGAACCAATTTGTGCACAGCTACCTCCCACAAATAGCAATGTGATAATGACGACAGTTTGTTTTGATATTAGCAGTTCAGGGATACATGTTGGAAGACTTCAGAATAGTGTCACAGGATCTTTTATGCTCGCCTGAGAAAACAGATTGGGCCTTGGTTTAACCTTTCACGTGGGGAGAAAGTTGCATCCAACAGAGCAGCAATCCCTTGATTCTTATTGAAGTATCTGCATAGATATTCATGTTCACGTCTGAAAATTGGAACCTGAACACTGGCTCGGAGACAAGTGTGCTACTAACTGAACTATGGGTGACACGTGATTGGTGTCAGGCATGTCTAGAACCTATGTAGACTCTGTTTTATTGCCTTTAGTTTAGTCACTGGAGGTTAATACCGTAAGATGTAGGAGTAGAAGTAGGCCATTCAACCCACTGAGTCGTCATCACCATTCTGCGAGACCATGGTTGATCTGATCGTATTCAACTCCTCTTCCTGCCTTTTCCTAATCACCCTTGATGCCTCTACTGATTAAAAATCTATCTCAGCCTTGAACATAGTTAATGACCCACTCTCAACAGCCCTCTGTGATAACTAATTCTACAGATTCACTACTTTCCTCACTTCTGTTTTAAATGTGTGACCCCCTTATTCTGAAATTATGCCCTTTGGTTCTAGATTGTTCCATAAAGGGAAACATTGACCATCTTCAGTCGCCTGAGAATCTTGACTATTGCAACAAGGTCTCTCATGTTCTTCTAAACTTTAATGGTTGCAGGCCCAACCTGTTCTCATAAGATGATTCTTCCATATTCAGTATCAGCCAAGTGAATCTTCTCTGGACTGCCTGAATGTCAATGTATCTTTCCTTAAAGAACTCTCAACATTAGAGCTGTAGTCTGAACAGTGCCTTGTATAGTTTAAGCAAAGCCTCCCTACTTTTATACTCCATTCCCTCCACTCTAGTTGCCCTACTATATAGAAAGGGTATAATTAAACTCAAAAGAGTGTAGAAAAGATTTAATTAGATGTCATCTGGGCTGGAAGGTTTGAGTTATAAGGAGAGGCTGGATAGGCTGGGACTTTTTTCCCTCGTGCATAGGAGACTGAGGGGGTGCCTTGTCAAGGTCTATAAAATCATTAGAGCAGAGATAGCTAACTGCTTTTCTCCATGGTAGGGGAGTCTAAAACCTGAGGCCATAAGTTTAAGGAGAGAGGGGAGAGGTGCAAGAAGGTCCAGAGAGGTAATTTTTTCAGAGGGTGGTGAGTATCTGGAACGGGCTGCCAGAGGTAGTAATGCAGATGCGTACAATTTTGTCATTTCAGAGATATTTGAACAGGTATGTAGATGGGAAAGTTATGGAGGGATATGGACCAAACGCAGGTAAGTAGGGCTAGATTAATTGTGAAAACTGGGCAGCATGGATCAGTTGGGACGAAGGGCCTTTTTCCATGCTGTAAACCTCTGACTTTGAAATAAATGCCAACGTTCCATTTGCCTTCCCTATTACCTGCTGAACTTGGATGCTAGCTTTTTGTGATTCATACACGGGGACCCCCAAATCGTTCTGTTCAATCGATTTTTTGCTGTCTTTCTGCATTTATATAATATTCAACTCCTCTATTCTTCCTGCCAAAGTGCTTGACCTTACATTTCCCCACATTATATTCTATCTGCCAAGGTTTTGCCCACTCACTTAACCTGTCTGCATTCCTCTGTGTGATCCTCACCACTTGCCTTACCACCTATTTTTGTAATCGGCAAACTTGACTAAAATACATTCACTTGCCTCATTCAGTCATTAATGTATATTGTAAATAATTGTGGTCTCAGCACTGGCCCCTGTGGCTCTCCACTAGTTAAGTGTTACCATTCTGAAAATGCCCCCTCCCCTATCTTATCTCAACCCTGTTTTCTCTTTATTGCCAATCCTGTATTCATGCTAATATGCTGTATCCAACACCATAGGTTTTATCTTAATAAGTAGCCTAATGTGTGGTACCTTATCAAACCCCTTTTGAAAATCCAAATATATTACATCAACTGCTTCCCCTTTGTTCATCTTGCATGTCACCAATTCAAAAAATCTGATATATTTGTCAGGCATGATTTCCATTTCATGAAGCTGTGCTGACTCTGCCTCTACATTTCTAAATGCTCCGCTATACATTCCTTTATAATAGATTCTAACATTTTCCCAATAATAGACATTAGGCTGACTGGCCTATTGTTACCTTTTTGCCTGCTTCCCATTGTAAATAGTGTTACATTGGCAGTTTGCTAATCTTCTGGGATTTTTCCAGAATCTAAGGATTCTAAATGATTACTACCAGTGCGTCAACTATCTCTAGTTACTTTAATATCCTAGGATGCTTCCCATCAGGTCAAGGACACCTACCAGTCTTTAGCCCCATTATTTTCCTTACCACTTTTTCTCTATGGATAGTTATTGCATTTATTTTATCCTCCTTTGTCTCCCTTGCTTTTTTTTTTGTTTTTAGTAATTTTGCAATGCTGTTGGTATATTCTACTTGAAGACTGACACAAAGTATTTATTCAGCTCTTCTGCCATTTCTTGGTTCCCCATTATTATTTCCCAGCTTTGTTCTCTAAGGGGCTTTCTGGACTCAATATCGAGTTCAATTACTTTAGGGTGTGAGCTCTTGCATGTCCTTACCTCAACCCCTACCCACCAGGCCTTGTTATCAAATAGTCTGCTATTACACAGAACACATTGTTAGCCACTAACAGACCCATTAATAGCTATTCATGCTCTCAGCCAGATCGTTGCCCACTGCTTTGTCTGTCCAAGTGTTCTCGCTCTACTCCTGGTCCACTTCCCCCTACCCCCCACCGTATCCACCATCAGTTCTGAAGAAGGGTCATTGGACCCAAAACATTAACTCTGATTTCTCTCCACAGATGCTACCAGACCTGAGCTTTCCCAGTAATTTGTTTTTGTTTCTGCCTCTATAGAGTTTACTTCTTGCAGTGAGCCCTAGTTAAGGCACCTCTGCCCTTTGTACCAAATTTCCACTTTGAATCAAATTTCCAACATTGCAATTGTTATCCTCTGTTGGCCTTCGTCTTATTCTGCTTTGCAGTTTAGTAGCTCTCAAAGTCTGCGGTTAAGTTGACTGTAAATCTAGGCTGAAATTTAAGTGGAGGTGTCTAACTTGTAGTCTTCATACTGTGGTGTAGAGCCTAGTCTATAAGCATTTTTATTGGCATAATTCAAGTTGAAATGCATACCATATAGAAGTTTGATCATAAACAATTAATTCGACGTTGTACCAACTTAGTGTTATGATTGTGATTTTTAATGGTTGATAATCTTAGCATAGGATAATGTGGAAAAGAAAAATGATAGTAATAGCCAAAAAAAGGACTTTTATTCGCAAAAGCCAATGTGCAGGAATGTACCTTGGCTTGACTAATTGAAAAATATGTAGTAGATGTTTTGAAATATGTTTTTGTGACAAATGGCATTGCAGATACTCATTTATATTTCAGTAGCTTTACTAAGTCTACTTATTTGCAAACAGATTGACAGATTCTGCTAATCTGTATGCAATGTGATAGAATGTAAACATTTGAATTTGAATAATTCTTTCAAATGAAGTACATTTTTTGTTTTTTCACTAGATGTATTATACTGGAAAATATCAGAGCCTTGGAATCAAACAAGGAGGTCCGACTGCAGGGAAATGGGTTGAACTACCTATCACCAAATCACCAAAGATTGTACAATTCTCTGTGGGCCATGATGGCTCTCATGCCTTAATGGTGGCTGAAGATGGAAGTGTATTTTTCACTGGCTTGGCTAGTAAAGGAGAGGATGGTGAATCAGGTACAAGCTTGGAACTAGTATACTTAATTGTTCATGTTCTGAAGGGAAATACCCACGCCCATTAAAACTCTGGCTGGCCATATTAATGCACTAGTTCTTAAAAAAAAAATTGAGTTCAGTTGTTCTGGTGGTCAGCCATGAATGACAGTAATTAAGAAAATGGTGAATAACATTAGAAATGGTGGAAGTGATTTTCATAACATGCTAATCATTAACAAACGTATGAATTGGGAGGAACATAGTCATTCAGCCCATCGGAACTGTTCCACCGTTGCACATTTATGAAGAGTTCCCATTCTCCAAAGCCAACACTGCATACTATTTTTAAAAAGATGCAAGTTATATTGAATTTTTAATTTTGTATTTCCTAATTTACAAACAGTAAAGACACATTTCATAATAGAAGGATGCATAAAATTTTGCTATCCCATCTTCAAGTGGATATATGCAATTTAACGTGAATGCATATATTGCAGAACTTAACTGGTCTAAAACAGTAAAAGTAGAAAAAGAAGTCCTGTTTTTGCATTGGCCTTGCTGCTCTTTCCCAGAGGTTTCTCTTTTTTTTTGTAGTTTTTAATTTTAATTTATCTGGAGTTCTGTCTTGAAGGACAAAGTTTGTTCAACTTATACTCCCATCCTAAGGAGATAGGCAAATAGGAAACAGATGATAGGCACAATTTTTAAAACTAATGATTTAAAATGCCCTTTGTGGAGAAGAATACCTTCCATTTGTCAGTGATGGTGGAAATACCCATGTTCTGATAGCTACATGCTTTTTGCTGGAGTTTGCCATTTGATGTTGGCTTATAAACTGATACATGAGCACTTAACCATGGGAAGGGCATGCTTCCAGCTGGATGCACCAGATAATTGTAGTATTTTCATGCAATTGTACCTGGAGAATGCCTAGACATTTAAGATTTAGAAAAAAAAAGTGCAAAGCATAATCCATATTTGAGTTAATTATCTCTGTAATTGTTTTCCTTTTCAACAGAAAATGAATCATTAATGTGTAATGCAATTGAAGCGTATAGCTCTTGATCTGGATTTTCTACTTTATTGTAGCTAAAAGCAGACGCCAACCAAAACCTTATAAGCCAAAGAAAATGATCAAAATGGAAAGTAAAACAGCAGTCTATACAGCATGTAACAATGGAAGCAGTGCTATCACAACAAAGGAGGGAGAACTGTACATGTTTGGCAAAGATGCTGTTTACTGTGACAGCTCAGGTTAGTAATCGAAAATGGCCTTGCATAAAGTTTGTGTTTTTTCTTTCTGCATAAACATTCTTTTATGATCCATAACTGGGTTAAGTACATGTTCTTAAACTTCTTTTAAATAAATCTATAAATAGGTCTTGTGACTGAGTTGAAGGGTCACTTTGTGACACAAGTAGCCATGGGTAAAGCTCACGCCTGTGTATTGACTAAGAATGGAGAAGTTTGGACATTTGGTGTGAACAATAAAGGACAGTGTGGACGGGAGACTGGTGCACTCTGTCAAGGTGGGAAAGGTAAGCATGTTCCTTTAGTAGTAGACATAGTTTTATTTTCAGATTTACAGCAAACCAGCAACAATGGGACCCAGGAATGTGTCGAGTGATTGAATATTCCTGTTGATCAAAAGGTTCACATAATATAAAATCACACACTAAGTTAATAGAAACATAATGTAGGAGATATACCCATCACTGTTATACTTAGAGCATAAAGCACTTAAATAATGCAACTTTGCTTTGAATAAAACTTATCCTGCAGACAGCTTTCTCACTCACACCCTCAACTGACTCTTCTGACATTGTGGAGATTGTGCTAATACAGTAAACCTTTGGTTTATGATTTTTGCCAGTTTATCAAGAGTGCTGGTTCGCAAGGTGCCAGTTAAAACCAAGGTTTGCTGTAGTTTGTGTTTGTTGTTGGGAGCATTCCTTGCTAGATTTTTTTTCCTAAATGTATTTCCTTTGAGTTGGCTGTCACTCTTGCTCGGAGCATTAAAAAAATCCATTACCTAGTAGACGTGTGAAGGATATGCGAATCAGGAATATCAGAATTTTAAAGAATTTGTCAATATATGAAAAGAAAAGGGGTTAATATTTTGGGTGTTATCCATTACATTGTCTTTGAAGGAGGAGAGAATTTTCAATTCACTTGTCTGGTGATGAGTTCTTCTTTCTATTTGCACTTGTCATTGTGCCTGTAGTTTAGAGTATGGAAATGATTGATGTATATCAAGCAGCTTTGTTGATTTTCCTTGATGGCAGTTCTTTGGAATGGTCTGGATGCACCTAAGAAATATCAGTAATTTGAAAAATTAAATCAGGCAGCAACACAATGTATTTAGGCTTTGTGTTGATTTTCATCATACTGTTGGCTCTGGATTTGACCCATATTTAAATCATTAACATATGAAATAGGAGCTGGAGTAGACCATCCAACCCCTAAAGCCTGCTATACTACTGAATAAAATCATGGTTGATCTTTGTGTTTGAAATTTTGCATTGACGTCTACCCTGGTAACCTTAGATTCTTGTTAGGCAAGAAAAGCAGCCTACTTTTGACTTCGAGATATTCAAGGACCCTGTTTCCACCTTGTCCTGAGTTAGTGTTCCAAAGTCTTAGAACCGTCAGGGGGAAAAAAAAAATCTGCTCATCTCTGTTCCAGAAGGATGACTGCTCACTTTAGAACAGTGTCTCTTGTTCTGGCCTTGCTCACAAGTCCTAGGTCACCTTGTCAAGCCCATTCAGTGTCTTAGACATTTCAATCAAGTCATCCCTCACTCTCTTAAAATACATTGGAAACAAGTCCAACCTGTCTAACCTATTTTTAAGATAACCCACTAATTTTAGGTTGCAATCCAGCAAGTGTCTTCTGAATGGCCTACAATGCATTTGCATCCTTCTTTACATAAGGACACCAAAACTGTACATAGTATTCAAGATGTGGTCTCACCAATGTCCTATGTAACTGAAATATTATGTCTTTACTTTTTGCTCATTACCCCTCATAATAGAAGTCAAAAATCATATGACACCAGGTTATAGCCCAAAAGGTTTATTTGAAGACACAAGCTTTCGGAGTCTCGCTCCTTCTTCAGGTGTCAGAAGGTGAAGATGTGTGATTTTTGACCTTGTCCACCCAGTTCAACATCTAATGATATACCTGACCTGCATGCTGACCTTCTGTGATTCATGCACAAGAACACCCCTGAATTCTGTAATCATTATCCATTTAAATAATATTCTTCTAGTCAAGTTGAACAACTTCACATTTTCCCAAATTATGTTCCCATCTGCCAGATTTTTGATAACTCACTCAATCTGTCTATGTCTTTCTGCAAACTCCTTGTTTCGTCTTACCACCTTTGCTGCTATCTTTGTGTCGTCTGCTACCATGCCTTTGCTGTCATCTGAGTCATTTATAAGAATTGTAAAAGTTCAGGTTCCAGCACAGACTCTTGTATGGCACCACTTGTTTCATACTGTCAATCAGACAAAGACTGATTTATGTATACTTTGTTTTCTGCCACCTGTCCAATCTTTAATCTGCTCACGTGTTGCTTCTTAGACATTTGCATTTTCCACAGGAACTTTTACGGAATTAATGTCTTCTGGAAATCTAAGTTCAGTATATTTACTGGCCCACCCACCGAAAAAAAATACATAGCCCTTGTTACTTCTTCGAAGAAGTTAAATAAATTGGTTAAACATGTTTCCCTTTCATGAAACCATTCTGACCTTTCACAATTGCCATGTTTTTCCAAAGTGTGCAGCTGTAATCTCTTTAATGATCAATTCTAACACTTCCTATGACAGACCTCCAAACTAACTAGCCTGTAATTTCCTGCTTTCTGCCTGTCTCCCTACTTCAGTGATAGGGTTATATATATTTGCCACTTTTGGAATACAAGCATCAAGGCATCTATGACATCATCAGCTACCTCTTTTAAGAACCTGAAGCTCATCTGCAACCAGAGACTTGTCAGCTCACAGTTCCATCAGTTTGCTTAGTACCACTTCACTAGTGATTCTAAATTCACTAAGTTCCTCTCTCTTTGCCAACTCCTGATTTACATCTATTACTGAAAATGTTGGTATCTTCTATAACGAAGAGAGAAGCAAAGTGTTTGTTTATTTTATCCACCATTTCCTCATGATCTAATGTTAACTGCCATTCTTGCTCTCTTGAGGACCAATGCAGTATTTACTATTTACGTTTTTAAGTACCTATGGAAATTCATGCTATCTGTTTTTACATTTCCTCTCCTGTTGCAATTTCTTCATCCTGATTTAACTTTCTAGTTATTCTGTGCTTTTCTTTATATCCTGACCAATTGTCTTATCTACCACTTATCTTTGCACAGTTATATGCTGTTTGTTTGATTTTGATGCTTTCCCTAACTACTTTAGTTAACCACAGATGGTGGGTCCTCCCTTTTAACATTTTTCTTTATAGTGGGAATACACTTGTTCTGACTGTTCTGAAATATAGAATCATAGAATCTATGAAGTGTGGAAGCAGACCATTTGGCCTATTGAATCCACGCTGTCCCACCCACACCCACCTCTCCATCTTATCCCGGTAACCATGCATTTCCCATGGCTAGCTCACCCAGCCTGCACATCCCTGAACACTATCGGGCAATTTAGCATGGCCAGTCCAACTAACCTGCACATCTTTGGACTGTGTGAGACACAGGGAGAATGTGCAAACTCCACAAAGACGGTCGCCCGAGGGTGGAATCGAATCCAGGTTCCTGGCGCTCTGAGGCAGCATTGCTAACCACTGAGCCACTAAATATTCCTTCGAATGTCTGTCACTGCTTCTGTTTTCTAGGAGATCAATAATATTCCTCGCTATTACCTGCAAGGTAATGGTTTTTATTTTAACAAAGAATGCAGTTATGACCAGGAATACTTCAATTTGAAAGTACCCTTTATTAGTTTTCTACAAGGCAAGAAGGGTCAGCAGTAAAGATTGAAACGTTGTTACAGTTTTTGAGTTCAGCACTAGCTTTAATATAAGCCTTTGAGTTACATCAAAAGCAATTCTTTCTATACTGTTTGAATTTGAAGTATTTCAGTTGGCTATATCGATTTATTCATTTGACTGTTGACTAAGACAACCAATTAGCTGACTGAACTCCGTGTTAATGCTCATTGAGTCAAACCCATTGGTCTTCAAAATAAATTCCTCCTCAACTGGATATTATGCTGAATTGGTTGAGTGAATTTTTTAGTGCTAGAAGCACGAAGAACCTGGCTGTGACATTTGGGGGCAATTGTCTTGTGTTTGTCTTCAAGCATTATAGGTTATACATTTTGTGAAATTATCAGAGAGTAGATAACAGTCATCTGGGATATGGTGACGTGGATATTTCTGATGTTGACAAAAAAGAAAAATTGGAAATAATTGTAATTGATTATTTAAATTTTTGGGCAGCTATATCATTGTCCAATTCAAATTAGAATTAATGGACATTACATAAATAAAAAGACAAGTTTAGGCAGGCAGATTTTGAATTAAGTGTTTATTCTTTGAATAGGTTTCAATATGGAAAACATGGCAACAGCAATGGATGAAGATTTAGAAGAGGAGCTGGATGAAAAGGATGAAAAGTCCATTATGTGCCCTCCTGGAATGCACAAATGGAAGCTGGACCAGTGTATGGTTTGCACTGTGTGTGGAGACTGCACAGGTTATGGAGCCAGTTGTGTCAGCAGTGGGCGACCAGACAGAGTTCCTGGAGGGTGGGTTCACAAGGGTCCATTGTTTCCTGTTGAACCAGTAAATGTATGTTAAAGTAATTATCAAAAAGTAAAATAAATACTTGAGCAAAGTGCCGCAGAGTTAGTAAATGTAATCTATAACAAAAGCAAAATACGGTGGATGCTGGAAACGCCCAAATTTAGGCAGCATTGGTGGAGAGGGGAAGACAGTTTGACATTTTAGTCATGATCTTTTTCCATAAGTTGATCTGTAATTTAATTGTGTGCAGGTCTAAGAAAGTGATTTTTTTTTTTTTTAAGTGCCTGAAACTGCTTTTTCAAACTGTTGTATAATGTCTTAATCAGCTGCAGTAAATATGGTAATTTTTCAGATCATTGTTTTTCATCCATAGTGATTATAATGATAATTGGTCATTAATTCTATTAACGATTATCAATTGTCTTGTTTCTTATGTGGTTTTGGGTTAGTCTTGCTTAATAGAAGGGAATCCTCTTGACCTATTTGATATTGTCAATCATGGAAACCTCTGAAAATCTTTTGCCTTTACTCTTCTGGGTGCAACTATAAATCGTGCTCATTCAAATACCAAACCAGATATGATTTGTTTATTTTGTTAGGGAGAGTAGGGAAGGGAGGAGAAAAATCTCAAGCTCTTTTTATTCAAAAATGGTGTCTTTTCTGCCATTTTGTTTATTGACTTTTCTCTTGCTTTTGTTTCTATTCTGAAGTATGGGTCAACGCTTTATCTTCACTCTGAAGCAGAATCATATTGGACTCGAAGTGTTAACTTTATTTCTGTCTCCCAAGATGCTGCTGGACCTGCTGAGTTTATTCACTTTGTTTATTTCAGATTTCCAGCATCTGCAGTACTTGGCCTTGCATTGAGTCCTTTATCTCTCATAGTTGGCAGTGGCTTCCTTGTCAGATTTCTCTGAGAACTTTTTTTTGTAATTAATGCAGCTTCCATTTAACATTGGGTTTTCATGGCCACTGACATCACATATATTGGAATAATTGACCATTATGCAAAAATCCTCATTTGAAGTCACTGTTATTCTTCTGCAGGAATAGATACATAGTCATTCCCAAGACACTATCTAAGGGAGGTTATCTTTGTATCTGACTTTTTTGAATATAAGGGAACTTGTCAGATCAACACAACTGTAAGCAGATATAGATGTGTAGATATGCACGACTAAGAACTTCAGTTCTCAGTGGGCACCCGAATAAACTTTGGAATTGATTTTTCAATTAAATGCAGGCCATCCGAAAAAGCTTCATAGACACAGGCTAATTTAAAATTAACCTCGCGTGGTAATGATGATTGAAGGAGTCAGAAATGACATTACCATTAGCACACTTGAAGTATGCTATCAGTAAAGTAATTTTACTGTTCTTTCTACTTCCGCCATAAGAATGAGCATAATCATTTGTGAATGTAAACAAGTCAAACTTCCATACCTTTTTGCTCAACACTTTCCTCTGGCTTCGCATTCTGACATATAATTTTAACTTAATGGAAAATAGAATAATCATTCATAGTTTTTGATGACTGCCCAACATTAAATTAATCAATCTTGGAGTTTTGATTTTAATTTGTGTTGCCTTACCTGAATTCTTAGCTACTGTATTCAAAGACCTAAGTTTGTTTTAGCACAAGCTATTCTATACAAGTCAGAATGAGGCATGAACATCTGATGAATGCGGCTATGGACAATGCCTCCCAGGTGGTAGTTCTTCTTACCGGTTACCTGGTTAGAGGTAATCTTTAATTAATACTCAAGTAAAATTATTGCTCCACTTTAAATTTTTGCTTTGAGCAGAATGTACTTGTGTTTTGTATTCATCTCAATTTATACACCACTGCTCAGTTTGTGGTAGATTTGCTTTTCTCGTTTTTTTTTTTTTTCTTTGCAAAATTAAAAGTTAGCCAACTAACATAATTTATTCAGGTTCCAGTTCTGGAAAAGTCCAAATCAATTGCATCACCTGTTAAACGAAAGCAAAATAATGCAGTACTGGAATTCTGAAACAAACTTATTTCTTCAGTTCTGAAGAAGAGTTAAATCTCACTCAAAATGTTAACTGTGCTTCTCCTTCCACAGACGCTGTCAGACCTGCAGAGTTTCTCCAGCATTCTCTATTTGTTGCATCATCCATTACCACATTTTAATATTACTTATTGGCTCAGATTTCACTGTGTGTATTTACTTCCATCTTAGTGACTTTTCTTTTGCTGATTCATCTTCAGCTCATTAGAAATCTTGTTACATGTACAGTAGGTGCAGCATCTGTTAATTTATGTGTAAGGAAAAATGTCAAATGAATAGGTAACCCTAGTAGTGGATTGTAATGACCATCAAGGACACGTGGTGAGATTTTTGTTTTGTAGTGAGATATTTTTTATTGTGATCTATTTTAGGCTTTGTGGCTGTGGGTCCGGTGAGTCTGGTTGCGCTCTATGTGGTTGCTGTAAGGCCTGTGCCCGAGAACTTGATGGTCAAGAGGCAAGGCAGAGGGGAATTCTTGATGCCGTTAAAGAGATGATCCCTCTAGATCTACTTTTAGGTGAGTTTTTTTTGTGAAATATAAATCAGCTTTTCTGAAGTTTACTGTCACGTGCTATCTCAGCATTATATTCTTAATCACAATATCAAGAGACACAATAAAATATCCAGCATCCTAGAACCTGCAACTGTAGACCCCCAAGGATATTAAACCTGTAGGGATTTTTCTCAATATTTCTGTATTTCTATTCCCCTGCCCTTCTGAATATCCTTATTATAGTTGTCTCTCTTAAATGCATACCTACTTGGCTTTTAATTGATTTGAAGTTTCTGCTTTGATTTGTAGAAAAATACTTATTAATGAGCTGCCATTATTAACTGCACTTGCAGTTCATTTGATGACTGTTTATTCTAGACATTCAGTCCTAATATTTGAAAACTATTTCATCTTGTAGTGCATTTCCGTACAATGCTTCATTTCAGAATGTGACATTGTGTACATGAGTAAGCTAGAGGGGCTGAATAACCTATTTCTGCTAAAAACCGAAACAACTGCGGATGCTGTAAATCAGGAACAAAAACAGAAGTTCTGAGGAAGGGTCACTGGACCTGAAAAGTTAACTCTGATTTTTTTCTTCACAGATGCTGCCAGACCTGCTGAGCTTTTCCAGCAACTTCTGCTTTTGAACCTATTTCTGCTACTATTTTCCCATAATTGTTGACAGCTTTGCACAGTGCAGTATATGTTGTATTAAACTGTTAGAGGATAGAAGAATGTCACAACTTTTGAAATGCAGAGGAAAACTTTTGAGTAAAACCCACATGTCTGTATAAAATGAATGAATCAAGACTGTGAATACAGTTATAGCTGAGAATAGCCTCTCATAAATTGCGGTTTGGGAATTTTTGTGTCTTTTTGTTACAGGAAAACCAGAAAATGGAAGAATGATTAGATAGTGTAGTTTCCATTCATCACACCTTGTTTTAATCAAATGATTGATTTCTTTAGCAGGACCTGTCCCACCAGGTGTTAATATAGAAGAACATATTCAACTAAGACAAGAAGAGAAAAGACAACGGTTGAGTAGAAGGCACAGATTAGAAGAAGCGAGAGGTATGTTTTTTTTTGTAAAGGCTTAAGTAACAACTGGTACTATCTAAAGTGGTTTTTCAAGCACAAATTTAAAAAAAAAGCTCCTTTACACATATATATTAAACATTCGACATTATTGCGGATTGTTTATTAATCTTGCATAGGATCTGAAGGATCATGCTGAGTCATGTAAAAGGAAACAACTGATGGCTGCAGTACATTTTTTCTTTATAAAGCTGTATACCTTAATATGATTAAGCAGGTGTATATAATCATAAAGTGTGTCCTACAGTCTGCCATTAAATCTGGAGTAGGTATTACGGTTACAATATGTAGTACACTTTAGCTGGCCTGAATAAGTATTCCTTGACAAAGACTTTGCATAATAGCCACCAGCAGCTTACATTTATATTTTGCCTTTAACTTAATAAAAGTATTCACAGGATCTGTTGTCAATCAAAATTTGGTATCATTTCTCGCAGAGATATTAGGACAGATAACCAAAAGCTTGGCTGAAGATGTCATTTTTTGGTGAGATTTAAAGGGGAGAGAGGAATAGGAAATGTTTCAAGTGAACACATAAAGAGCTGTAATAAACTTTTTTTAAAGGTTGCTAGTTTAACGGCTCATCTGCTACCTTGTGATATCATGAGCTGGGTGGCTTGAGCAGAGATTAACATACATCATAGTTTGTCCATCCTGGATCATTACTGTAATTGACTGTGGGTAGGTGCAGCAGCTATTGTTAACTCTAATTGCTAGTAGGGCTGGGAGCTTACCTGACAGGGCACAAATGCTTCACTCAACAACTAAGACATGAATAGACTTGAATTCTAAACAAATTCAGCTTTGATAGGAAGGTTGGTTTCTTTATGTAATTCCTTATCATAGCTCATCACCTTTAATGTGCCTCATGTACAATTAATTATGTTAAAGTACAGCTGTTGTTATCTTGGTAACTATAACAGCTGTTGGAAGCTTAAAATGATCCCACAAATAATCATGAGATTAGTAACTCATTATTTTTGGTTCTGGTGGAGAAATGAATATTTCTAAGGTCAGAGAATTTCCTGCTACTTTTTAAACAGTGTCACAGGATGTTTAATGTCTCCCTAAATTGTTGGGATAGGCAGAAGAAGCCTCAATTCAACGTCTCATCAATAGATTATATCTTAGAAAATTCATAGAATCTCTACAGTGTGTAAGCAGGCTGTTAGGCCCATCAAGTCCACACTGATCCTCCTGAGGAGCATCCCATCCAGACCCCCACAGACCCACCCTAACCCTGTAACTCCCTCATTTTCCAAGGCTAACCCACCTAGCCTGCACATCCCTGGACACTGGGCAACTTGGCATGGCCAATCCACCTAATCTGCACATCTTTGGACTTGTGGGAGGGAACTGGAGCACCCAGAGGAATCCCACACAGACATGTGGAGAATATGTGGAGTTTGCACAGACAGTCACCTGAGGGTGCAATCAAACCCAAGTTCCAGGCTCCGTGAAGCAGTGGTGTTAACCACTCAGCCACCATGCCGCAATGTGCAATACTGAAGGAGTGCTCTGAGTTGCAGTGCTATTTTAAAGTAATAGAATTTTTTTGCTTTTTTAGTTTTATCTCTACTTCAGTTGTCAGCCAATGTAGTGTGGAAATTTTTAGATACGGTAAATAATATAAAAATTTTTATCTTCTTAATAGAGTGCAAAATGCCTTTTTCTGTTATCTTAAATGTTACAAGTATACTTTCCAAGACTATAATTGCTACTTGAGATGTACAACGTATTTTTATTGAAAACCTTTTTGGGTGAAGGCATGCTGCAAATACAGTTAAATTTTAGTTGCAACAAGAAATAAAAGTAATGATTTGTTTGAAGTATCATTCTCAAAAAGATGATGATCTGCTTTGGTTAAGTTTTTGAGATCATGTGTTACAAGTGGTTTTCCTAAATTGCTAACTGCTGTTAACATCCCACTACGAGGGATATCATGAAGTATTAGTTAGAGCATGGGGTGTAGTAATACAGTAGTTTGCTTGTTTGTAGTTTCAAAGCAGCAGCACAGTAATCTGAATAGAGATTTTGTTGTGCATGTATCTATTACTTTGCTAAACAAGGTGTGCAGAACTACATTTTTCTTTAAGTCGTTCAATAAATTTATGGGTGAGCATATTTGTAGTGTGTTATTTTTTATTATTTATTCACGGCATGTGGGCCTCACTGGTAGGGGCAGAGTTGATTACATATCACTAGTGGCTCTGAAGAAGATGGTGGTGAGCCGCCTCCTTGAACTTTGTAGTCCATGAGTTGTCAATAGACGAACAATGTTGTTGGGGAGGGAGTTCCAAGGTTTTAACCCAGTGACACCAAAACAATAATAATATGAGAAGTAAAACAACTAAATTCAAGTGCACAAATTTATAATTGTGATTTGTTCAGATTTTGTGTTGCACAGTCATTGATTAAACACGCCTTTGGAATTTCTTTGAAATTTGTTATGTTAATGATTTGTTACCACTCTACCATTTGTTGACACTTTTTTTTCTTTTTTTTTGCTATCTACTATCTACAATGTAGCCTTTTTCTCTTTAAAGCCTCGAATTCAGCAGATGCCATTCTCTATTAATACTATAGACAAATGTTTTATTTTTGTTTTGACAATTATTTCATTTGTGAGCTTTCCTATGCATGTGCAAGTTATTTCTCCTCAGGCCCCATTGTATTTCCTGGTCCCATTTATTTGAACCATCGAGAACAGGCCATAGCCAGACTAAGACCCCTTCCATCAAAGCTAAAGCATAAACGGGACAAGCATAAAGGTATTTGGTCATCCTTCCTTACTGGCTGGAAGACTACAACCTATCCTGCCATTCATATTCTTCTGTCAGCTGAGTCTCTGTCTAACGTGGACAACTGTACAAAATTGATTTTGCTTTTGTGTTTTGATGTTGAGTAAGCTGAGGAGAAAATAAAACTGTTCTGGCTTAAGATTGATTGATTAGGTTGAATGCGAACATTGCTTGGTTGCTTTTCTTTGTACAAGAAAGAATGCTGCTTGCTTTTTTAGATTTCTGTTTTTTTTTGTTCCAAATTTGTGCAATTCTGTTATGAAGAATACAGATTGTTTTGGAGAAAGGGAAATAATTTTTTGCTAAAATATAGTTAAATTTACAGATTGCTTTACAATCCATTATTATATTGCATTTGGGCTTTCTGTGTTCTTTCTTGAGTTGGGGGATAAAAGACTTAATTTGTTTTGATAATTGCAACTAATCTTTTCCTGTCACAAATGTCTTATCATAAATGGTTGCTTGTATTGCATTTGGCGTCTTTGTACCTTTTGTTTTTACACAAGCTTTATTTAACAAATAATGGTCAGATGTACAGTTTAGCACAGCTCATGGTCTACAGTTGGTGACTTGTAGGTTCGGAACATCACTGAAAATTCAATTGCCTACCGCTTCCCTTTGTTGATTTGCTTCTGATTCATACTTAAATTGGGGGGCTTCTTGGGCTAGAAAAAAAATTAAATCATTGAATTATTAAAATCATTTGACCTGGATTCTACTGTAACTAGGGAAGCACTGTGATGCAGTAGTTATTTTATGATGAGAATGCTCCTGTTAATTGCTGCTGCTTGTGTGACGTAAAAATCTCTCACTTAATCTCTTCTGAGTTGGGCAAAGGAAGGTTACATATTCGTAAGAGATGTAGTTGCTGCATGCATTTTGCTTTGACTGACAAGGATAAAAGGTGAAGTTTCTTCTTGAACCTGAACTCTGCTCAAAAAATTTAATTGCAAGTGATCAGTCTGATTGATTCACATTTTTAATTTTCTTTCCTCTTGAAAACCAATTCACGAAATTCATCAGCATGTTAATCTTTGATCTTATTGCTTGTACATTGGACCAACTTGGGCACAATTGTGTATTGAGTTCTGGTTCAAGGAATCCTTTTTAATTTCTTGGCTTAATCTTAAAGATTTAAGTACTGTGTACGATGGGATTGTCACTAAGTTCCTTTACTGTTGGCACTAATATACCTTTTGATTGTACTTGCAGCTTTAATTGCCTGTCAGCTTTAAAATTGCATGTTGCTTTTAAATAAATCATCTCAACATCTTCCCACCAGTGCCGTGACAGATGTCTACCCATACTTTGTATTAATATGTGGCTGTTCAGATATAATCTTGGATAATTGTATTGCTGTTTGTCTTACCACAGTTGAAAACTCTTTTATGCACACTTACTAGCTGAAATCCTAATGGCAGCACTTTATTTTCTGATCTTAATTCTTTTTTTTGAAAATTCATTTCCAAAATGTTGAAAGGTTTGAGTAAACAGGATTCTGTTTGTTGGTAGTAATCATATAGCCATATCACACAGATTGTTCTTGTATTTCAATTTACATTATTAACAGCATATAAGTGTTAAATTTTTATACCCCCACTATTTGTTTTTCTGGAGAAAATGCCCTTCATTTATGCAATGGGAAATAAAGCTGATCATACAGTATTCCTGTGAACATCAAAAGTTAAGCTGTTGCTCCCTTTTGCATAATGCCAGTGAACATCCACATACAAAAACTACTGAGATCTCAAAAAGTAGTGAACACTTAACAAGTTATCTTGTACTGTTGTATGATCCCTTTTGAAATACAGGATTGAATCATCGTTCTTGCCTTTATCAGCGTTATACTGGTCACTTATCCCCCACAGCGAACAAATCAGCAGTTCTTTGATTTCTTTGTTAGTTTTTCAAAATGACTTTTGGCAACGCCGCAGGTCTGGAATGGGTGGGATGAAGATACTTTTCAGTTTAGTCCCCTACTTCATTTATAGCTTCAAACTACAGTTTTTTTTGTGTTTTGTTACAACCCAGTTGGGAAAATGCATGGATTCTCAAGGTGACTGCAGAAGTTAATGATGTAATCGAAGTATGCAAAGTCCCTAGTTTGTCTATTTAATGGAGTCTAGTTAAAATAAAACACCGGTCAAATTCTGGTACTTTACAAGAACTACTGTTTATTACAAGTAAATGTGTTCTAGCCAAAGTTAAACAAAACTATGAACTATTACCATATAACTCTCCTAGTTGAGACTCTTAAACCCCTGTGCATTCACACATGCACACTCCCACACATAAGCATGGACAAACAATAAAATATTGATTGTATAGGTTGAGGGAAAAGTACTGGGGAAAAACAGTTCAATTGTACAGTCCACAGTAGATTCAGTGAGATATTCCATTTGCTTCCCAAGACTGCCTGTTCTTTAATTTTCTTCACCAGGTTCTTTCACTCCACTGGAGGTGGCACAGGATAATTGGTACATTAATTACAAAGTATATAAGTTACTGGTGAAAGGCTCCAGCTTCCAGCAACTGGTGGTAAAAAATAACTGGCTTCCTTTCTGTACTTTTAGTACAGACAGACAGACAAACATGGAGCTACTATTCTAGCAGTCTGCTGGAAGCACTGAAGCTGTTCATCTGCCCAGGAACCAGTCAGAGAGTTGTTGTGAGGCTGACAACTTTTGGGGTTCATAAGTGGCCACATTTGCAGAAACTAGTCAGAAATCTGGTGCTGGACAAATGTGACTGTGCATGCAGGCCCTGGTGATGACGACCACCCCCACCCCCACCCCCACCACCCAATCCCCTCATTGCAGTTCGAATTAGTTAAATTCCAGAAGTGCCTTTGTCTCACAATAAAATGAAAATTCATTGTTTTGATTTCCAAAACACACAAAGCACTTGCATGTTGCATGGCATTAATTATGTACTCTCTGACTCATTGCAGTTGAACTACATGGTTGTGAGTTTTTGCCATTCACCAGGAAATTCAAAAGCCCAGTCATAAATATAATGTGTTGTTTAAAAATCTAGAAAAGTGTGTTTATCTAGGGTGTGATTAGAAATGGAACTTGCCAGAATGTGGAATAGTTAAGACATAGGAACATTGCACTGATGAGCAGAAGTAGGCCATTAGCCCTTAGAGACAACGAGGTGTAGAGCTGGATGAACACAGCAGGCCGAGCAGGAAGGCTGACGTTTCGGGCCTAGACACTTCTTCAGAAATTTTTTTATAGATGGGTTGTTGGGGACCGGGGAATTGGAAGTTCTGGAGGAGGTGGAGGGCATGGGTGATGTCACGGACATAGGTAGGGAGTTCCTGGACCAAGGGGGAGAAAATGGAGTCGAGATAAGTGGAGATAAGTTCGGTGGGGCAGGAGCAGGCGGAGACAATGGGTCGACCAGGGCAGTCAGGTTTGTGGATTTTGGGAAGGAGATAGAGGGCGGTGCGGGGTTGGGGAACGATGAGGTTGGAGGCTGTGGGTGGGAGGTCACCTGAGGTGATGAGGTTGTGGATGGTTTGGGAGATGATGGTTTGGTGGTTGGGGGTGGGGTTGATGATCAAGGGGACGGTAGGAGGAGGTGTCGGAGAGTTGGCGCCTGGCCTCGACGACGTAGAGGTCAGTGCGCCATACTACAGCTGCGCCTCCCTTGTCTGCGGGTTTTATAGTGAGGTTAGGATTGGAGCGGAGGACTGCACGTTCTGCGGGGGAGAGGTTGGAGTGGGTGAGAGGGGTGGAGAGGTTGAGGCGATGTCTCGACGGCAGTTGGTGATGAATAGGTCGAGGGAGGGTAGGAGGCCTTGGGGTGGTGTCCAGGAGGAGGGGGTGTGTTGGAGGCGGGAGAAGGGGTCAGTAGAGGGAGGGTTAGGCTCACGGTTGAAGAAGTAAGCGCAGAGGCGGAGGCGGTGGAAAAACTGCTCAATGTCCAAACGTGACCGGTATTCGTTGATGTGTGGGTGGAGGGGGACAAAGGTGAGCCCTTTACTGAGGACCGAGCGTTCGTCCTCAGTAAAGGGGAGGTCTGGGGGAATGCTGAAGACTCGGCAGAGCTGGGTGTTGCTGTCTCCTCTGGAGCTGCTGGCTGTGGAGGTGGTGGGCGGAGCGACGTCGGCATCAGTGGTGGGCCATGCGGCAGCGGGCGGAGTTGCGTTGGTGGTGGGCGGAGTTGCGTCGGCGTCGGTGGTGGATGGAGCAGCGTCAGCCCTTAGAGACAGCCAGTGTGCAATTGGCATTTGAGATGAATGTGTTTAAGGAGACTCTGCTAAATACAAGTGAAAGATAAATAGAATAAAATGCTAGTCAGATAAGAGAAGGCAAATGTGTGGTATGGATCAGTTTGGACTAAGTAACATATTTTGGTGGCCGAACATTCAATGTAACTTTAAGCTTTAGCTTTGCCCGTTTGAGCCTGAAATTTCTGAGCTTGATCAAGTGGAATGTATTCCTGTAGAAAAGTGTGTGTTATGGTTTGGATTTTCCTGAGCTAAACTGCTATATTCTGCTTGTGATGGACATCCAGCTGACCAAAGCAGCATATGAATAGGAGCGATCAAGGGATCTACAAGTTGAGACCTTTTTGGTGTTGTAATTTAAGCTATCATTGATAGTTATTGGTATATTTTCTCCAGGGAAACATCGTCTTTTTTAGACTTATCTATATATCCACTGCCCCTTCCACTGGCAAAGGTTAAAATTTTGACCTTCCTTGAGGTGAATGGGTACAGTGCAAAAATTGGACCCTGTCACATCATGTATCAAAATAACTTATCCTGAAGTAACTGCAGATTTTGATACAATTGTTATAGAAACATTCAATGAAATAGTGGTTTTGGTTGATTCCATTGTTACATTATTTTAAAAAATCCAGAAAAAAGTAGGTGTGGCTGGTAACTCAAAATTTTGCTCAGCTATACAATCGGTTTAATAGAAGAACAAAAATTGCATTTTAAAATTTGCAAAATATTTGTGAAAAGTGTGTTTGGCTTTATGATGAAACCTAAGTTGCTATTTGTTATAGTCAAGAATATCCAGCAAATATCAGACGACTTGTGACTATTTGCTATTTGTGTTTCAATTACTCTGTGGTTGGTTGTTACTTTTCAGATGCCAATGGAGAAAGGGGGGAGAAAGACACCAGCAAGATTACAACATATCCTCCAGGGGCTTTGTGTCTTCATTATGAGCTCCAAGCAGTCCAAGTTAGCTGTGGATTCCATCACTCAGGTGTGCATACTATGTGGCGCTTTGAATAAATAGAGGAAAAAACATCGAATGCCTTTAAAGTGCGTGAGAACTATTAAAGCTCTTCATTTCCATTGAACTGGTTCAAAGTATAGTCTGTCTCGATAGGGGAATTTACAGTACTGGACAAGAACATTCTGATCCATTTCCCTCACCCCAAAGTTCAAACCATTGATTCACTAACATCTCTGGATATGTTGCTTCTGGATGATCAACAAATCCACTTGAAAATTATAAATCACCCTTCTGGACAGCCCACTCAGTAAATTGACCATCACGTTACCAAACAGTTACAATTAGAGTAAAAGTATCTACCATTGTTACTTGGGTCATGGCAAACAGTTTCTCGAGATTTCGTTTAAGTACTCTGAATAGCCCTGCAAGAACCCCCAGTGCTTCTGTAGACTCTAATTACAGCTAGCATATCTGATGTCTGGTATCTAGCCATACTTTATTTCTAATGGATCATTAAAATGATTCAGCCATTATCAAAATAAAAGGCTTTCTTTAATAAAGTTATTTCTACTTTGAATTTGTCAACTTTGAATTTGTCAGAATTCACAGATGTAACATCCTCATCGTGTTTTAAAGGAACCTTGTTTAAAAGAAATAAATTTCTTGTATAATTTAGAAAAAAAATTAAGATTTGTGCTCCTCCTAAGGAACTCTACATTTACAGGTCACCAGTTTCAATTTGAAGCATTTATTTGTAACCATAAGAGAAAAAAGATTGTGTAAAATTCATGTGACCATAATTTTTTTCATGACATGTTCCTAATTTCAAAGTACAGGATTGTGTTTTAATCCTAACTCTGGGTAAAGATATTCATATGTTATGTAAATACATGAGCATTATATGCATTGAATTAGACCAGGATCTGCTAATATATCAGCAAATTTAAGTCTTGTTATGTAAACTAAGGACAAAAGTTGCATTACATCGTAACAAGATGATATCATTTAGTTCTAAAGATCTAGTAAATTATATTTTGTTTAACATCAGTAAACAGCACTTTGATTTTATCCATTCAATATTTCAGATATATTAATTTGCAAATTCCTGAGAGACCACAATAGAAAGTTCAACTATCTGTTTGTCTGCTCTTTCTCCAGACGCTGATAATTAGTCTGACTAATTGTAATTGATGTAATTATCCAGTTGGAAGCTATGTTTGAATTTTAAGTATTGTTCAAAAACCATTATAGGGAATTTGAAAGTTTCTTTCGATTTTTCTTACCTGCACGCCTGCCTTTGCTAAAGATGTTAAATTTCCTCGAATATGGCCTGCTCCGCTCAATCTGTTGAGTCTGCCTGAACTAGATTGGGAGCAGCAGAGAGGTATTGCAGAGACGTGAAAACAAATGAGTTCAGAGGGTGGGAAAACTAGGCCTGTGTTTTGCACTATGGCTGAAAATAAAGTACTGAAGCTTTTTTGGTTCAGGAATTGGGTAGGGATAAAAGGTGAATGAAATTGTAATTTGAAATGCACCATTTTAATAATGGTTCACGTTATTTATGCTTTATATATGAAATGTTGTCGAGTTCAAATTACAAGCATTCTGTCAAATAACTCCTGGCAAAACTGTTCAAAAATAACCAGGTTCCTTTTCCATATCAGATAATCCTCTTTTTGTGAGTTTGTTCAAGAATTGAATACTTTCCTGTCTGGGATATGCGGCTCTTGCACTCCTGGGTGGGATAAAAGCCCTTGTTTACCTCCCTCCAGATAAATTTAGATTAAACTTTGATGCACTGTAGCACAGCCTTGTTTGGTCATTTCTGGAAAGCTCAGACCTGTATAAAACAGAGAATTATTGTTTTATCAAGATAAATGTGAATTTTAAGGAACTAGGTACCTTTCATTTGAAGGTAGGTACAGAACAGAAGGCTAGAATCTAGAGTTTGAAGGCAGCTTCTCTCCCATGTCAATAAAATAAAATTTGACCCTTAATTGAAAAATGTTTCCCATTGTCCATCATCACCGTTGCTTTGCCGTTCCAGATTCCTCTCTATCTGGGAAAGGTGGTGAAATTCAGGTAGTCTAGGGGGTTCTGAAGGGGGAAGGAGGGCTTCAGTAACTGTGGGGGAAAAGATATGAGTGCGTATACAGTTGCTGTTGTACTGATGGGAGATCTACACTCAAGTGAGCAGGAACAGGCTTTAGAGTCACAGGTACACAGCACAGTAACAGACCTTTCAGTCTGACTTGTCCGTGCCGACCAGATATCCTGTATAAATCTAGTCCCATTTGTCAGTGTTTGGCCCATATCCCTCTAAACCTTTCCTATAGATATACTCATCCAGATGCTTTTTAAAAGTTGTAATGATACCAGCCGCCTCCACTTTCTCTGGCAGCTCATTCCATATATGCACCAACCTCTGTGTGAAAAAGTTGCCCCTCAGGTCCCTTTTATATCATTCCCCTCTCACCTTAAACCTATGCCCTCCAGTTTTTGACTCCCCCACCCCAGGGAAAAGTCTATAAACCTCTATAAAGTCATCCCTCAGCTTCTGACGTTCCAGTTAAAATAGCCCCAGCCTATTCAGCCTCTCGCTATAACTCAAACTCTCCAACCCTGGCAACTTCCTTGTAAATCTTTTCTGGACCCTTTCTAGTTTCACAACATCTTTCCTATAGCAGGAAAATCAGAACGGCATTCCATGCTCAAATTGGCCTAACCAACGTCCTGTACAGCAACAACATGACCACCTAACTCCTATACTTAATGCATTGACCAATAAAGGCAAGCAGACCAAACACCACCTTCACTTTCAAGGAATTATGAACCTGCATTCCAAGGTCGTCTTGTTCAGCAACACTCCCCAGGACCTTATGATTAAGTGTATAAGCTCTGCTCTGATTTGCCTTTCCAAAATGCAGCACGTCACATTTATCTAAATTAAATTTCTTCTGCCACTCCTCGGCCCAATGGCCCATCTATTCAAGATCCCATTGTACTCTGAGGTAACCTCCTTCGCTGTTCAGTACACCTCCAATTTTAGTGACATCTGCAAACTTAACAACCATACCTTCTAAATTCACTTCCAAATCACTTGTATAAATAACAAAAAAGCAGTGGTCCAGCACCGATCCTTGTGACACACTGCAGGTCACAGGCCTCCAGTTTGAAAAGCAATCCTCCACCACCACCCTCTGCTAACAAGTCTACCATGAGGAACCTTCTCGAATGCCTTAATGAAGCCCATATATCCGTCATTCTGCCCTCATAAATCTTCTTCATTACTACTTCAGAAACCTGGATCAAGTTAGTGAGATGCGATTTCCTACGCACAAAGCCATGTTGCCTGTCCCTAATCAGCCCTTGCCTTTCCAAATACGCGTAAATCCTGTCCCTCAGGATTCCTTCCAACAACTTGCCCACCACTGAAGTCAGACTCACCAGTCTATTGTTCCCTGGATTTTTCTTACCACCTTTCTTAAATAGTGGCACAACATTAGCCAACCTCTCGTCTTCCAGCACCTCACCTATGGCTATCAGTGACACAACTGTCTCAGCAAAGAGCCCAACAATCTCTTCCCTCACTCTCCACAAAGTTCTAGGGTACACCTGATCAGGTCCCAGGGATTTATCCACCTTTTGAGTTTTAAGATGTTCAGCACCACCTCCTCAGTAATATGGACATTTTTTAAGATGTTGCTATTTATTTCCCCAGGTTCTCTATCTTCCATATCCTTCTCCACAGGAAACACTGATGCAAAATGCTCATTTAGTATTTCCCCCTACGCCTGCAGTTCCACACATAGGCAGCATTGCTGATCTTTAAGAGGCCCTTCCCTCTCCCTAGTTACCCTTTTGTCCGTAATGTATTTACAGAATCCCTTTGGATTCTCCTTAACCCTATTTTCTAAAGCTATTTCATATCCCCTTTTTCCCTCCAGATTTCCATCTTAAGTATGCTCCTCCTGCCTTTATACCCTTCCAGGGATTCACTCGTTCCCTGTTGTCTATACCTGACGTGCTCCCTTCTTTTTCTTGACCAAAGCCTCAATTTCTGTAGTCATCCAGCCTTGCCCTTCACCCTAACAGGAATATACTATTTCTGGACTCTCATTATTTCATTTTTGAATACTTCCCATTTTTCAGCTGTCCCTTTACCTGTGAAAATCTGCCCGCAATCAACTTTTGAAAGTTCTTGACTAATACTGTCAGAATTGGCCTTCCTCCCATTTAGAACTTTAACATTTAGGCCCAGTTTATCCTTTTCCATCATTATTTTAAAACTAGTAAAATTATGGTCACTGGCCCCAAAGTGCTGTACACTGACCCCTCAGTCACCTGCCTTGCCCTATTTCCCAACAGTAGGTCAAGTTTTGCACCTTCTAGTAGGTACATCCACATACTGAATCAGAAAATTTTTTGCGCACATTTGACAAATTCCTTTCCATCCAAGCTCTTAACACCTTGGCAGTCCGAGTCTGTTGGTAAAACTGAAATCCTACCCAATTATTCTCACAGATAACTGAGATGCCCTTATAAATTTGTTTCTCAATTTCTTGCTGACTCTTCGGGGGTCTATATTACAATCCCAAAAAGGTGATCATCCCTTTCGTATTAGTTCACCCAAATAACTTCCCTGGATATATTCCCAGGAATATCCTTCCTAAGTACAGCAGTAATGTTATCCTTAGTCTAACGTGTCACTTCCCCTCCTTTCTTGCTCCCCTTTCTAGCTCCCCTTTCTATCTTTCCTATTGTATCTATACTCTGGAACATTAAGCTGCCAGTCCTGTCCATCCCTGAGCTATGTCTTTGTAATTGCTATGTTATCCCAGTCCCATGTTCCCAACCATGCCCTGAGTTCATCTGCCTTACCTGTTAGGCCTCTTGCATTTAATTAAACTGCATTTTTTTCATCGGTCCTACTTCAGTTTCAGCTTTGTTCCTGCCGACCCTGACTGTTCAACTTGCTCCTTTTCCCAACTGTATCAATCTCTGACCGCTCTCTTTCCTCACTCTCTCCCTTGCAACTAGTTTAAATCCTCCCGACCAGCTGTACCAAATCTCCCCGCCAATACATAGGTTCCCTTCCAATTCAGGTGCAATATGTCCTTGCACAGGTCATTTCTATACCAGAAGAGATTCCAATGATCCAAAAATATGAATCGTTCTCCTCTGCACCAGCTCCTCAGCTATGCATTCATCTGCTCTGTCCTCCTATTCTTACTCTGACTAGCTTGTGACACTGGGAGTAATGCAGATATTACTACCCTCGAGGACCTCCATTTTAAATTCCTGCCTAATTTCCTTTATTCTGTTCTCAATCTCAGCTTTATCCCTTCCTATGTCATTAGTTCCAATGTGTACAGTAATCTCCTGCTGGTCCCTCTTGCCTTTGACAATATTCTGTACCGTCTCCAAGATATCCTTGATCCTGGCACCAGGGAGGCACCACACCATTGTGATGTTTAGCTGTTGTCTGCAGAAATGTTTGTCTGTGTCCCTGACTAGAGAGACCCCTATCACAACTGGCAACTTGCAACATGGATACCCCTCGTGCATTGGAACCAGTCTCGGTACCAGAAACCTGGCTGCCAGTGCTACATTCCCCTGAGAGTACGTCACCTCCTACATTTTCCGAAATAGCACACTTGTTTGAGATGGGGATAGCCACAGGAGACTCTTGCACTACTAGCCGCCTTCTCCTACCTTTTCTGGAGATCTCCCTTCCTGCAACTGCCATCCATCATAGCCCCTAGCTCCTGTAAATTCCTAATTGCCTCTAACTGTTGCTCCAGCCGATTCTTGCAATCCAATAGGATTTGCAACCAAGCACACTTCCTGCAGACTAATCATCAGTAACGTGAAAACTCTCCTTTAATCTCACACATCCAACAGGAAGAGCACATCACTCTACTAAAACCATCTTTGCTCCTTAATGATCTACAGACCCAGAAAATAATGTAGCCTTACTGCTCTAAAAACACTGCTCCAGGCTAACTTAGTACTTATGTTTTATGTGTTTAAAATTTTTAATCAACAGACAGATCTAAATAGAAACAGTATCGAAAAGAAGCCTCTCTACTTGCTATTGTAGAGTTACAAAAAACACTAGCCACTCATCTGCTCCCCTGCTGTGATCTCTCCACACAGGTTTCCCCAAGGTCATCTGTGAATTTCACTGTTTGTTTATTTTTCTTAGATGAGCTTTAATGCCCAGAGATACTAGAAATCAAACTGCAGAGGCAGTAGTTGCCAAAGTTCACTGCTGGGTCAGACAGTAGTGTAAGTTTCTTCCACCATTGAATCACTCCTCACTGTGTGATCATTGCCTTTGCCTTCCTTTGTCCTTTTTTAAAGTACCTTTATTGAACATAACTACAAAGAGAGGAAGATGAGGGAGAACATGTCTGGAATCTTAGATTCAGGCTGCATCACTATGGTACAACTGTATAGCTATTTTTTAAACAGTAAAACTAATTCCCTTATCCCCACAGAGAGGGAAAGTGGGAAAAAGCTGTCTGATATGAAGGTATGGGAAAGGGGCTTCGCTTGAGTCTTAATGTAAAGTATGGCAGAAAACTACCTGAACACAGTGTGAGTGCGCTTAAATGCAGATTTTCCTGTTTGTATGATGCAACACTTTATATTGATCTATATCACACTTCAATAACGTATTCCTAAGCTATTTTAGTGTTTTGTTGTTGCTGACATCTAGGTCACGTTATTTAGAGTGTTTTTAAGCATCTATAGTTTTGTTCCTGGGACCTGAGTGTTTCTGAAGAGGCCAGCCTTTGTTCCCCACTCCTAAATGCCCTCAAAGTGGTGAAGAGTTAAAATGAAGTCACTTTGGAAAATAGTTCATAACACTACCACATAGTCCTTTGCTTCACTTTCCATGTACTTAATTCAACACAGCCATGTTCTATAGTTACTATCCATTGAACTTCATATTAGTATGGACTTCATTCCATATTATATGCAATGACTTCATTGAATGTTGAAATGCTGGAGTCAGATTGATGATTTGGTACAAATGCATTGATTCACAATTTTTATTATTATAGAAAATAAACGGGAAACTAATGTTCCTGGACTTAAAGTTTAATAATTCCACCCATCTGAAATGGTCTAGAAGCATTTGCATTTTGCTGCAGATCAGAAATAATTAAATGATGCCTCATCAAAAAATTTTCAGACCATTTTGACATTGGTCATTCTGATCCCTGAAACAATTGTTTGGCTAAACTCTGATCTTTTCTGAGAAGCCAGATTTTTTTAACAACAGAACTGAACTAGGAAATCTTACCTTCCAGCAATTGGTAAAATTTGTAAATGATTAGTTAGGTGAATATTTTGACTTGTTAGTAAATATAACATGTTTTTTTTTCCAGAGGAGTAAATTTTTGTATGTTATTGGTTCTCAAGTTCTTACTTTTTTTTAATGTTTTCCAAATAATCCATAGTGGTGCTGATGGAGAATGGTGATGTATATACATTTGGATATGGACAACATGGGCAATTGGGCCATGGAGATGTAAATTCAAGGTAATAAATAAAACCGGGAAAGCTTTGTGCTTTTGGTGTGGTGTTTGTTTCCTTGCTAAATAGATTTTTCATTTCAGAGGGACGCCAACTTTGGTACAGGCCTTACCAGCTCCTTGCACCCAAGTAACTGCAGGCAGTAACCACACAGCTCTACTATTAGCAGATGGACAAGTCTTCACGTTTGGAAGCTTCTCTGTAAGAAATCTTCTTTTAGGACTTTTTATGCAATATTTTAATGGGTGATACTTAAACCTTAATTATTTTGACATAAAATATTTTACATGCACTGTCGCTGAAGGAAAACAGTGGTTTAGAATTCATGCTTAAATTACTGGGATATTACGTCAGACTATAGACTAAATGGAATAAATATAACACAGAATTTTTTGGACATTTCCTCATTCTTTCCCTGCACTCAAATGCAAACTGTTCTCGCATCCATAGGCATAATGCCATTTTAATAAATTACACTTACTGGGTAATGGTACTTGGTCCCAAACCCTTCTCTCAAAGTTATGTTTCAAAATGAAGATTTACTGTTCAATCATAACTGTGACTTGAGTTATATCCTTTCACATTAAACTCCTTAGGTTTGTCTATGCATGGAATGTTTTGGTTTCTAGCATTGCTCACCTTACTAAACATAAAGGTGTCCCAGGAAATAATTGCAGATAAGTTGCATACATTTAAGGGGTATCAAATGATGATTAGAATTGCACCACACAGTTTTCAACCTCATGAGCTCTTTATTCTCCTATGCAAAGAGTGCATGCTCCACCCTCCATAATGCCATCTGCCCACTGCATTTAACTGAAAACCTACTGATGACTGCCTTGGGCTGTTATGTATTAAGAGACTTGCATTAATGCAAGTTATTAACCAAATTTTGTCTTAGTAGAAGTGAAAATGTATGATGTTTTAAAGGCTTTCTTCTCTCTCGTAGAAAGGACAACTTGGTAGACCAATTTTGGATATACCTTTCTGGAACACAAGACCATCTCCAATGCCAAATATAGGCTCAAAGTATGGCCGTAAGGCTACCTGGATAGGTGCAAGTGGAGACCAGACCTTCCTACGCATTGACGAAGCGCTTATTAACTCTCATGTTCTATCAACTTCAGAAATATTTGCCAGCAGAAGCATCATAGGCAAGACAGATTTCTTTCTTTGATATTCAATTATGTTGTCAATTTTCAAAGCTACTAACAAATCAACTAATTCTGTACTGCAGCCAAGGCTTCAAAATGTAGATTTCATTCAATTGTAGTCTGAATGACATAGCACACAGCATAATAAATCATTTTTAAATAGAATTAACTTTGCAATTAGAGAAGCCAGTGATACATTCACTGTACAATGTGCAGTATAGGGCCTTTTAGATTAGCATATAAATTCCAAGTTGCTAGACAGGACTGAAATATAGAGATGAGGACTTGCTTTCTAGTTTGCTTAAAAATCTGAAAACTTTTGAAGAGGTGTAATGGTATGGCTAAATGTCTTATGGGAGTCTGATCTCTGGTGTTTGTTCAAATAGGCTTGGTACCTTCATCAATAACTGAGCCACCACCCTTTAAATGCCTGTTAATCAATAAGTTGGATGGAAGCTGTAGGACATTTAATGACTCTGAACAGGAAGACTTACGAGGTTTTGGAGTTTGCTTGGATCCTGCATATGATGTAATTTGGAGGTAATTCCCTGTAGTAGATGTTTTAAGCACAAAAATGTTATTGCCACCATTTTTTGGCTTTTAAACTTGTGACATTAATCATGCATAACATGATCATATTAACTTATAGAAATTGAAGAGAAAAAGGTTTCAAAAATTTAGCTGATTTTTATTTTCATTACCTTGGGGAACTTGAAAGGGCCTAATACTTAATGGTCTATTAACATGTAATTACTGAACCTTGTCTTTTAGAGCTGCATGCAAAAATATGCACTACAAAGTGATGTCCAAGTTACACGTGGTAGCTTCATCTCAGTTCTATTTGAATATTCTACTTCAGAATGAAAAGCATGATGACTAACACTTACATTTCAGGTTTATGCAGTTTTTGAATGACTGAATGCAGTTTATATAGCAACATGTGCTATAAAAAAAGCTCTGCAAGAACCTAAAGTAATGCATGTTAAAATTAGTTCATTGTTTGTCACTCTGTGCCTGTAGGACTAAATATGATATAGTGACAGAATTGTTACTGTTCAAACTTCAGTGATTCTGTAGAAAGCATTATTGATCAATTTTTGTGTAGTCTTTTGCAGTGGAATCCACATTCCTTTAACAGTGAGGTCCCACAACTTGCACAAATGATTTAACAAGGTGTAGAGCTGGATGAACACAGCAGGCCAAGGAGCATCATAGGAGCAGGAAGGCTGACATTTCGGGCCTAGACCCTTCATCAGAAATGGGGGAGGGGAAGGGGGTTCTGAAATAAATAGGGAGAGAGGGGGAGGTGGATAGAAGATGGATAGAGGAGAAGATAGGTGGAGAGGAAACAGATAGGTCAAAGAGGCGGGGATGGAGCCAGTAAAGGTGAGTGTAGGTGGGGAGGTAGGGAGGAGATAGGTCAGTCCAGGGAGGATGGACAGGTCAAGGGGGCGGGATGAGGTTAGTAGGTAGGAAATGGGCGTGCGGCTTGAGGTGGGAGGAGGGGAAAGGTGAGAGGAAGAACAAGTTCGGGAGACGGGGGCGAGCTAGGCTGGTTTTGGGATGCGGTAGGGGAGATTTTGAAGCTTGTCATTATTCCGCTTGGGAACCCTGCAGCCCAATGGTATCAATGTGGATTTCACAAGCTTCAAAATCTCCCCTCCCCCTACCGCATCCCAAAACCAGCCTAGCTTATCCCCGCCTCCCTAACCTGTTCTTCCTCCCACCTATCCCCTCTTCCCACCTCAAGCTGCACCCCCATTTCCTACCTACTAACCTCATCCCACCCCCTTGACCTGTCCGTCCTCCCTGGACTGACCTATCTCCTCCTCATCTCCCCACCTACACTCACCTTTACTGGCTCCATCCCCGCCTCTTCGACCTATCTGTTTCCTCTCCACCTATCTTCTCGTCTATCCATCTTCTATCCGCCTCCCCCTCTCTCCCTATTTATTTCAGAAGCCCCTTCCCCTCCCCCATTTCTGATGAAGGGTCTAGGCCTGAAACGTCAGCCTTCCTGCTCCTATGATGCTGCTTGGCCTGCTGTGATCATCCAGCTCTACACCTTGTTATCTCAGATTTTCCAGTATCTGCAGTTCCTACTATCTCTTGCACAAATGATTTGTTTGCTTTTTCCTTTTGTTTGCTTTTTCCTTTTGTTTGCTTTT